CCTTTATTTACACCTTGCCATGTGGAGGTACCCTTTCTCAGTATGGTATGCTCATCTTGCTCTATGTCTGGCCATGTGTCACCTCCCTCTGCCCTTCCCCTTCCCTTCATTCTTAGTTTGATCACTCTGCCTTTCTTTCTGCTTAGCTACTGGCTAATCAACATTTTATTAAGCCAGTTCAAGAGACAAATCTTTACAGTGTACAAGAGGATTATTGCATAGCACCTCTGCCTTGCTAAAATTCATTAGATTACATTCCTAAAGCTAGCCACCAAGGTCTGTTCCCTCCTCCTGAGGCTGACTGCCAAGGACAAGCTATCAAAGTTTGAAGTCCAGCAATCAAAAGACTCCTTTGGCTCAACAAATTAATATGTCCAATTAAAATTAAACACCTTATCCTAACACAGGGTTTCCCCTTGTACCTTTATAAACTGTCATTTTCCTATGTGCCATGTCTGTCTCCTATATCCAGAGGCAGTCCTTTGTCTTTCTAGGATAAATGCCCCTGCCCCCTTTCCCTTGTTCATGTCCCTTTCTCCCTTGTCCTGTCTTTTGCTTGTGTCTCTTATTCCCTACCCTCTGTCCCTGTGAGACAATAAATCTCATTGGAATGGAGAACTTGGTCATATGGTATCACGAGCCAACATTGAGGTTCCCCACACCCCTAGGGAGGTGACAGAATTTTTTTCAGCAATCATCCCTAAAATTTCCCTGTTCAGGGATGAATTTGAATAGTTAATAATAGGGAAATATGACTAGAGGTGGCAAAGGGGACTAAGCATGAAGGGTACAGATTGGGAAGTTGATTTAAAGCAAAGTACGGGACTTCAGGAATTGCACTTCATACTTGGAAAAGAACAGTGGGACAACTGTATCATTTGATAGTTATTGGGAGCTTTTAAAGTTACAGAAAATTATAACAGCATAGTGGTCATGGTAGGCTAGTCAACTAAATAATCTTAAAATGGATATTCTTAGTACAATGGCAGAGACTGAATAAAAGGTGTGGCAAGAAAGAGGAATCTAGAATGATGTAGAAGTATAATCATCTGGAAGGCCAGATGTCAGTAAATACACCGATATCTCTTTTCAGTCAGTGGATCTGAAAGCAATAAGACTAGAGTATGGAAATATGGTGAGAGTTGGTAAGAAGTTCCAAGTCGCACTTGCATACTATAAGACAAACGAGGTAGCTGAAGGTTCTCCAACCAGTTTCAGAGAAAGATAACTACAAAACTATATAGATTTCAGAAACACTGCAGGCAAGGAGAGACCATAACATATTAACACTAAAACATATGGGAAATGAGGCCAGTGAGACTGCTCAGCACTCGTTCCCATGCCTGATGGCCCAAGCTGGATCCCCAGAAAGCACATGATAGAAGGGAAGACCAGCTCCAGGTCATTCTCTGACCTCCACACATGACATAGTACACACATGCATGAACATATGCACAGACAGGTAGACAGAAACATACAGCAAACAAGCAAACAAACAAGTTCTTAAATAATAGGAAAACTACCTGTTTTGAAGAAAGTGCCCAGGACAGTCTTAGAACACAGGAAGTGATCATTTGTGTTAATTTAAAATTGTTTTGAGTCAGGCTACTACACTGTAGTCCAGAAAAATTCTCAAACTCACAGCAACCCTCCTGCCTCAGCCTCCAAATACTTGAATTGTAGGCATCAGCCACCATGCCCAGTGGTATTTGTGTGCTTTCTATTCAGGTTATATCCAGCCCATCTGTCAGATTCATGGATGAAAGGAAGGGAGACCTCTTTGCTGTGCCCAGTTTTTCAAATATATAAAAGAACCCTGTCTTGTATAAAAATATCCCTTCAAATGAGAGCAGGGTCATGACCCTGACTCTGCATAGAAACCCATACTACTGCACTTCTGGCTTCCTGAGGTTGAAGGCGAGTTAATTTCTTTTCTCTCATTTGGCAAGTAAGAACAGAGCTTTGAATCATTTCATTATAAACAGTAAGTGGCATCTTATAAACACATTTTATGGAAATAACATGAACTTTTAAACATTTGCTCATTTTAATACTTTGCTCAATGCTGCTGAGCATGCCTTTGATACTTCTATCATTTAATAGATCAAAAAAGATACACTTGGTTTATATGAACGAGGCTAAGAAGCCATTAGATGAGGCATTGGGGTTGGCTGCCACTCAGGAGAACAGGTGCTAATAGGGCTAGGAATGCCCGGCCAGATCCAGCACTGGCATGGTGCAGGTGGCCGTTTAATCATATTAATACAAAATTGGCAGTTCAGCTTTTGTCAATAGAAGGGCATTTTTCAAAGCACCCACTTATTAATTCTTAAGAGGTTAATGAATAACCTACTTTGCATAAAATACATTACTGTAGAAAACAGTTGTGGCCCTAGCACATGTGACAGCAGATGAAAGGTATATGACACTGCCTAGTGAGAAGATCTTATCTGTCCCAGCCCATCATCCTAGAGTCACCCTCGTGGCTTCATACTAGCCCCTGACCCACCCAACAACCCTAGGTGAAAATAATTTTCTTGAGGACATCCCATGTCTCCTGCCAAAAAATATCACCAAAATATAAATGACATCCCTGCCACCTGAGTATGTCATTTAAACTGTCTCATAGGCTCCTCGGGGAGCACACTACCTATTTTCCTGCAGTCCTAATCCTGTTCTACTTGGCCTGTTTATCAGCTCCCTAAGTCCAGAGAGGACATGTGGAAAGTTCAAAACCATAATGATTCTATCATAACGAAACATATATCTTGCTGGCAGGGAACACATTATAGATTTACTGCTAATTTTGTGTTATCACACCTTTCTCCCCCCCATAAACCAGAATTTCCCTCAGCTCTTAAAAATTACAAAGAATCAAAGATACAGGTGATACAGAATGACAAATACAAAGATATGCAGTTTGGGGGCAGTTGGGTGTGCGTCGATTCATCTCAATGCACTTGCTAGAAACTATATCATCCCAAACACCTTGTTAAGAACATGCACACTTTCTTGGATGCTCTGAGCCACCTTTTCTCCAAATAAGAAGAGAAAGTAGTTTGCAGCCCGTTGGTGTATTATGTGAGCCTATGACTGCTTTCCTTTGATACCTTATCTATCCATTAACTCCATGAAAATAGCCAGCAAATCTGCAGATGCACTGCAGGAGGGTCCCTCTTGGAAAGGGCAGGCAAGACCTTTAAGGCTGAGGCTTTAACTTATCTAATGAAAGCCAGTTAAATGGAAGCTAATCCTTCATTTCCCCCCGTTATTAAAGACCATAAGTACTACAGCTCGGGAGTAGAGAGAATAAAATAAATGGATGGAGGAGTACAGGCAGAGGCAATAACGAGGCTTAGCTGTTTGCTCAAGGTTTGGGAAGCACTTGGGAGGCAAAACTCAAGGAGAAGCAGTCTAAATCTTTAACAAAGGCTCCTACTTCCTGCCAAGCATGGTGCTGCCTGCTGGATGCAGGAATCCTGCGCTCCTAGGATATAAACATCATGTGCCAGGCATAATTGGGGGTGCAAGTTCCCACCCCACCACACTACCCTTCTATATGATTTGGACTTGAAATGCTAAAACCACCACCAAAGGATAGATAAACCCACTTCCCTGCTCCTGGACCACAGAAAACCAATGCAGGAAGTCTAACTCTAAGAAGCAAACCAAAGGAGAGTGCTCCACCTGGAGACAGTTTTCAAGAGTCAAAGGCAAACCAGCATCTGGGAACTGGCTTCACTTTAGCCCACACTTGCAAGTTTATAGGTTTCCTTTTCTAAAGGAAAGCCAAAGGTATTGCCCCCCAGTGTAATTAACAATGTTAATCTTCTTTTTCCTCTCTCTGGTGATAAAGGAATCATTTTTTATATTTAATTAATGCAGAGGATCATTTTGGAAAGTGGCTAATGAGCCTCTGATCACATTACCATGAAAATGTGCATTAACATTGCAACAGAGGAGGCTGTTTCATGTGTAGCAAATCCACTTTGTAATTAGCCCACTGTGAAATGAATCACGTCTGGGGGAATCAGAGGGAGCCAGTAGGCAGTGGGCACTTGGCTACTGCTGGGCCATAGACCACCAATGTCCCAAACACTGCCTTTTCACTAGCAATACTGTCTAAAAACACAAGTGGTCCTGTGATATTTGGGGTAGACTAGAAAAAGGGAGAAATAAACTTTATTCTGCCAGATGAGACATTTGCATGTGAACATAGCTTACAAAATAGTCAATAAATAGTTATATTAAAATTATAGAATTCACTAGTTTTTTATTTTTTAAACCAGAAAACCCTCAGATATGCACTAAACAGACATTTGAATTTATATGATTTTTTTCAAAGTCACACATGCACACTGTAATAAGCTCTTGCAATTAGTTTATAGTGCTAAATAGACAGAAAATAGAACAGGGATCCAAGAATACAGAGTAAAAATAATTCCATTTTATCTTTCTTAAGACATGTCATGTAGTTTCCTTTATACAAAAATACCAAGTCTTTCTCTTAAACCAAACCCAAACAAAACAAAACAAAATGTCTCATTAATCAAATAATTTCCTCTGGCTAACCAGATTTGGCAAGAAACTTTTCCTGTCTATTCAAAATCACTGAGACCACAGAGCTATTAACTCCCAATACTTATGCAGACGACACAATTGATTTTCAAATGTCAACATGATCCCAAAACCAAAGAGGTCTCTCAAAAGATTACAGTCAGGGATCTCAGAGCTGTTCCTCTGACTTGACAGACATCTTGGCAGCAGATACACAAAATGTTAAAAAGAATCCCACAGGAAGTCATCTGAAGGGGGAGTGGCAAGGAAACTGAAAACTGCCACCCAAACGTCAAATAAAAAGCCCCAAACAGCAAGTCTGCCCTCGATTCTGAAATGCACGGAAAGACACGAAAAGCAAGAAAGCCAGATATCATTTCCCATTGCTCAGATGAACACAAAGCCTGGCTGCTTTAGGTTGCTGCTTGCAGACCTGCACTCACCTGGGAAACTTCGTACAGCAGTTTGTAGTGTTCCTCTCTCTTCTGAAAAGTGCACAAATTGCAGCCCATTCTAGGAAGCAGAGAGAGAGCACAAATCTTCTAGTTTCCCCAGAACTGCAAGGCAAGTGAACTGCAAGGGAATCACCCTCCAGACTTGACTACTGTTTATCATCAGTCACTTCGGTTCAGAAACAGACAGACCGCTGTTAGCAGAAGGCAGAAGCCAGGGTGCATGCTCTCCGCGTTCCCAAGTATCTTGCACTCACGCTACACACAGAGTTTCCAGTCAGTTCATGGCAACACTCCCCCTGTCTCTGCATCAGTGCACATGACTACACAGATTCCAGCTCATGAATATTAATAGTGCCTCATTGATTATTTATGACAGAACATGTTAGCAGGGTGGGGTGTCATAGCTGCTGCTGATGACAGATGAATATTCACTAATTAAGAAGCAAATGTAGTGTGGTTAAACAAAATTCACTTGTGTCAATACCATCTCTGTTTATTAAGGGTAGAGGGATTGAAAATAGGGCATTTTAAAAGAGCATACACTTAATTTCTCCATTGATATAAGCATTTAACATGATAATAATAAATCTGAGAAACAGAAATTACTTAGTTCACAACTCCATGTTTTGTAACAAAGAAATGTTTTCAACATCATTTAATATAGGGAAGATGAATCAGAGAAATTATTTAAATTTAGAAAACAAACCCAGAAACAAATGAAAATTATGGGGTTGGTATGGGAAAGGATGACAGAAAAAGAGAGAGTATATTGGAGGAGTGTCTTTCAGTTTTCAGTGTGATCCTTTAGAAATGACTGAGTGGATTATCTGTAAAGACCAGCACCCTGAGAAGATGCAAGACAGAGTCTCCTACTGCAAATAAAGAATATTTAAGCAAATGTGAGCAGATGATACTGGCACAAATAATAAATATTTTAATTAGATAATAAGGGCATGTCCATTAAACAGACATTTGAAGCACCATAATGCATGTAGATCTATATTTAAAAATTAGATGAATACAATGCACTTCCTCAGATAAATTACCAACATATATAGTACTTATGGTAATTTTATTAAAGTCATATATAATATTTCAGGACGCTGACACTGGCGATATTTACACCCTAATGTAATGTACAACAATCCCATTTGTGATTCTATATTTGGAATTCATAAAATGCAAAGGTGAACACAGACTTAAGGATGAAGCTTTTAGATCTGCAAATAATAGAATTAATCCATTTAATTTCACACGCACAAACAGTTACTTTGGATTGCAAGGCAGTAGTTTGGATCCCTTAAAGATATGCTACAAACAGCCAAAGCAAATTAATAAAAGCCAATTCCTTCTGTTCCAGCACTGACTTGTCTAAAACCTCTGCTAATTAAGAAGTATGTTCTTGTCCCAGTACATTTTAAACTGGGCCAGACAGCAGGTAGATTTGAAAGCAAAACAAAAATAACACACACACACACACACACACACACACACACACACACATATATATGACTCTGGCTAGGAGACACAGTGGATTTTGAAGATGTTTAATTGATGAACATTTCTCTATAGATACCTTTTGGAGTCTAATTTCCTAAAAGTGCTTTGTGAAATATTTAGAATAGATAACAGGAAATGAATCCAATGAGCACTAATTTTTAACAAATTGGTTTTGTGACTAGCAACACCTTAATTCTGGACAGTAGCCTGAGATGAGCAGTCATTGTTGGCCATTTCCTTGGGGAGGTAATAATCTGATTATCTGGGCCTAATTTCACCTAACAACCTGGATGGAAGCCAGGACCTGGGGCCTTCATGAAAGTGGGATGATAATTGGTGGTACTCATGTGAATGAATTTTACCAGGATGTCCTGCAAATTAGAAACCACTTGTAGGAGATATTAATTAAGACTTGATTTCTTTATGGAACAGGTGTATTCAAAGAGGCAGTCACAGGGAATTATATGGAAATCAATGGTGGCTACAAACCAAAGCAAATATTTTAAGTGAAGAGGAAACAACACCTTTGATGCTATCAGGTGTGAAGATGTTGGATCTCACCTATTCTAAAGTACACATTGATTGCATTTGGAAGTTTCTTAGCTAAATTTAAGTGAGTTATGGATTCTCAGATATTAATGCTCTGCACTTAAATATCCAGGTCAAGGAATGAGAGCTCAATAAGGCAAGGATGGCTCATTCATTCATTTTTGAGTGTTTGCTTTTGTGACTGACTAAACTCCTTTGCCAAAGGTTTGAAAAGCTGGGTATGCAACTATCTAAGCTGTTACTCATTTGGAGTTCTTACCGTATCTTAGAGTTGGCCTTTAATAAAAAATTAAACAATTAAAGCTTTAAAAAAAATTTTTTCAGTTATCAAAAAGTAAAGTGCGCATTCTAGCAAAGCAGAAGCAAGCAATTTCAACTGAGGTTGCTCGTCCAGCTCTGCAGCTGCTCCTGGCTGTTGTGTTTATTCATTACTAGGCCCTCTGTTCCTTTGTTTCCATCTGAGGAAACAAGTGTGGCTTTCTCCACTCATTTATCAAATGCTACCCTTGGCCCATCTACCCTGGAAAGATTCCAACCTCTGCTGCTAATGGGCTCATCACAAAGAATTAAAGGGTATTTTGAACAAAGGACCCATAATTCCAGAATCTTCCAAATTTCACTGGAATATGAGGGCCAGATTTTCTAGCAGTCTCTAGCAGCCTTTCTTGTACTGAAAAATTATATGAAGTTGGAAATCAAGGAAAATAATATTGATCTGAATATTTTCAAAATGCAAGTAGATTGGATGTATCTGTTTGGGGTGTTTATCAGTTGTACCTTTCCAATTGTTTCTAGCAGAGAATCATAGCAATGTGTGAGAACCTATATATGCGAATGGAATACTTCAATATGTAGCTGTTTGATTGTCTTTAACACATCACTCCAAACAGGACATGTGTAAATCAAGATCTAATTTAAGTATCAAAGCTTAACCTGGTAGTGAGATGAAAGAGTCAACAATGTTCAAGTTCATCTTATATAATTTATATCACCAAAAACTAAAGAGTAGTTGGTTGCACGCGCTTTAAATCCCAGCACTCCAGAGGCAGAGGCAGGAGGGTCTCTGAGAGTTTGAGTCCAGCCTGGTCTACAAAGAAAGTTCCATGACAACTAGGGCTGTTACACAGAGAAACTCTGTGTCAAATAAGTAAGTAAGTAAGTAAATAAATAAATAGTAATAGCTAAGAGGGTATTTATCTTCCCTTTTATATAAATATACTGACTACCAAGTAAAGAAGGGCTACAGACTGTGCCCATGCCAGAAGTCCTCAATCAGTCTAGGGACTGTGAATTACACTCCCCTCTGACAAGACAACTATTCTCACACATCAGAGGTGAATGGATATTTTTGTGTCACCTGATAGGAGAAAATGGTGCCATTCAAGGGCTTTCCAAAGGCAAACAGATTGCAGTGAGTGCAGACAACAGAGGAGCATATTAAACAACACCATGAACAAGCAACCAGCCCACTGACACTGCAGATAGCATTGTATAGATGGACATGAAAGAGTGGAGAGAGGGGGACAGAGGAGAAGAGAGGGGGAAGAGGAAGAAAGAGAGAGGGGGAGGACAATTAATGGCATTGCTACATAATATTTTAATATGTGTATGATTTGACAAAATCATCAATTAAACTAGGCAACTGAATGCCAACAAGCCATGGCAGTGGTTATTTTTTAAATTATTTATTTATATTTTATGTATGAGTGTTCTATGTATATGCCAGCATACCAGAGCAGAGCATCACATCCCATTACAGATGGTTGTGAGCCACCATATGGTTGTTGGGAATTGAACTCTGGACCTCTGGAAAAGCAGCCAGTGCTCTTAACCTCTAAGCCATCTCTCCAGCCCCGGCAGTGGTTATTTTTAAGAAAGGAACATGTAACTAGTCAGGGACATCAGAGAGTTACAACAGAGCTAGGAAAAATCAGGACTTCTGACCTCAGTGGTGATTTTTCTAGGCAATTAATCACCAGATGGACTTTTGCTGTAGATGGTCTCTTTATTTTTGTTGTATTTCACAGTAAGGTTTATTGAAAATTGACTCACCAAGAATCTGTGCCACACAACTCAGTACCCTTCTGTCTAGTTTTGATTTCTTTTGTTCTACCTTCTTGGTTTTGGGGCCTTGGGTCAACTGCAACCCCAGAATGTAAGTATTGAGCTTTAGAAATAAATACTCATTGATGATGCAGTGAAAATCCTTGCCCTCTCCCTTTGTCAGACCTAGGAAATGAATTGGTTTTTGTCCAGTATATCCACATGCCCATTTGTCACTTTGTCACTGTCTCCTTGTCAGGCCAATTGTGTAGTACTGTGTCACTTGTGTTCAAGTAAGTAACCTGTAGTTACTTGGTTGAAGTTGGCAATTTAGATATGCCAAAGGGAAGCTACACGCTCTCAGAAGTGAAATGAACTGTTAAGACATTCCAAGAGAGAGAACATTCATAAAGCTTTTCTTACAGTGTATTTTTTATAATTGTTCCACTTTGTGACTTTTTTACTGTGTCAAAATTGTAATTTAAACTGTGCAATTGTTTGCTTAGAGGCAGAAACATAGTGCATTGCACATGTGTGAACCAATGGTAGTTTTAAGTATTCTGGAGGGTCTCAGAATGTACCACTTATAGATAAAGAGGGGTGACTGCCCACATTTTCAGTTCTTCTTAAGAGAAGTAATGGCCAAATGGGACCGTTCTGAGCCAGCAGTATTCCAAGTCTCTCACAGCTGCCATAAACAGTGGACAATCTATCTTCATGCTGCTATCTTCATGCTGAAGCACACTTTCCTTAGTGATACTGTCCCTCTGTTTATCACCATCAAATGGAAGCCTTCTAATACAGCATGTGTTACAGCATGTGAGCTAATTGTTTCCATTCTAGTTCTGATCCTTTTGGGTAATACTTTATAACACGTATAGAGTTTCTAAAGTACACATGTCCTAAACTCAATTGCAGATGCACAGGACCTGCAGCTCAGGGAGCTTGTCTTGTTCAAGGTCAGCTTGAGTCAAGAGATCCATATTCGCTTCTCCAGTTACAAATTCAGTGATTAAATTCGATAGCAAGCTGCTGAGCTATTGCTCTCTTTCACAGGAACAGCTCTACTGGTAAGTCCTTTCCTGGTGACCAAGGAAGTGGAAGCTAGAACTCCAAAGCCCTGACATTAAAAGCAAAGGAAAGAAAAAAGAAAAACAAACAAAGAAACAAAAGAGAGAACTTCCAAGATTTAACCTAGAAAAAGAGAGGTGGTCCAT